CGTGTTTTTTTTTCTTAATATTCAGATGACCCTGGACACTTAACATCAATAAGCAGAAAGTATTGACATGTTTCTATACTCCCAGTGTGTGACTGAGCTAAGCCATGCCCTTCTCTCTTTGGGTTCTCCCATTCTGTAGCATTGACTTGTACAATAGCAGGGGTTAAGGGGCTTGTCCGTGGGCACAAAACAGGTACCAAACACTTGGCCCTTTCATCACCAGTCACCAGTCACCCACCTCGTCAGTTTTTCCTTTATGTTTATTTACAATCCCATTGGCAGAGCTCGTACGGCGTCACAGCGGCTTTCTGCTTCATACGTGGTCCGTGTTTGCCTGCCTTCCTGAATAGAGAGGTTTCATTTACCAAACACAGCTTTTATGAGCTCTTTAGTTCATCGCACTGGCTCTAACCCAGTGTATACAGTGAGCAGTAGATGAGATGGAAGATGACTTTCTGTATGGAAAACATAGCTTCCCGTGGAGAAATAAATTGCTCCTGGTTCTCACAGGCATGATACAACATTGACTCTTGGACCAGAGACTCGTGTCTTTGAAATTTCCAATCCAGTTTCCCCCAAAGCTAAGGCGAGGCTCTCACCAGCAGCATATACGGAGTTTCCCTTTGAACTTGTATTCAGTAGACATTTATTGAGTGCTTACTATGTGCCAGGTACTGTGCAAGATAACGTCTACACACGTAACATCATTTAGCTCTGTGTTGTGAGCTTTATTACCCCAAGCTGGCAGAAATCGTCAAGTAAGGCTGAGTGCTTAGTCAGTTGAGTTGACAGTAGCAAGATAAGGACTCAGACATTTTGCTTCAAGTTCCATATTTTTATTTCACCCTACTCTTGACTAGTTGCTCTAGATTACAAATTGCAATATCTTAAATAACCCGCATGAGCATGGTTGGACTATTCCTAGGAGGTAATGTGACAATTGCTTCCAACAGCTGCCATGATCTCTGGGGTGGTTTTTCAGTGGAATTAAATTCAGTTGGTTCGTTTCCATGCAGAACTCCCTGACCCAAGAAATTCTATTTATGTTAAGTCCTGCTACCTTGAGGTTTGGCTGACCTGTTTTAGTTTAGTACTATCAATATATGTGGGTTTAACTTTTTATTATTTAGGGCCTTTTAAGACTTGAAGAGCATTTATTCTACTCTCTGTTCTAAACTGTCAAGCCACAAGGAAATGGTGATTACCAGTGGTTCCTGCACATAGTTATCTGTCCATCTAAGATGCACTTGGGCATGAAAGACAGGGGAAGAATGGATAATGACATTATTAGGCACCCCAAGGGCACGGATAATTCGAATGCTTGCCCACATTCAGTAATTGGTCTCATCCTGAAATAGCAAGAGAACAACACCACTGCTTTTGTTAGCCTTCTCTTTAGGAAAGAAACCATGGAGAGAAGATGAATAGATGTATTATTTTGTTTTTGTGGCAGTGGTGATTTCTTTAAAATCCAGCTCTAAGAACAACAGCAGACCTGGGGTGAGTCTCCTGAGAGCAGCCAGATTCATGCTCATGATGCTTCCTCCTGTTTCCCTTTGCAGTGGATGGGAGCTGGGAAGTGTGGAGCGAGTGGTCGGTCTGCAGTCCTGAGTGTGAGCATTTGCGAATCCGAGAATGCACTGCTCCGCCCCCAAGAAACGGGGGCAAGTTCTGCGAAGGTCTAAGCCAAGAGTCCGAGAACTGCACAGACGGCCTCTGCATCCTAGGTAATGCCGTCTGCAACGTGTGTGCTTTGTTTGTCCGCGATATGAAAAGAGATGCCACGACCATTATTTCGGTTAAAGAAGTTAACAGAAAACAGTCTCCCAGAGCAGAAACAAAATGGGTGCAAAGTGTAGAAAGGCAGACCAATAGATTTTTAGTAGTGATGGGGTAATTTAAAATACTGCTATCACTGTAAATTCCATAAATGTGCATATTTATTATGAACGTTCCCAGATATGGTTTGAAGAGAAGTGATGTAGGAAAATGTTTCAGACTTTTTGGCTCAGCAGTTCTTTTCTTTTAGTAGCCAGCATTTTTTTGGTTTGGTGAGATTCTGATACTGATCACCATATGCTTATATTTCTCCCAAGAGTTTTACATACTATGAAGTGTTGAATAATCCTTGGAGACCGTGGTTCTGTGACAAGGGACATGTGTTTTGACTGTTGCCTTACACGTAGGGGGAGGAACATGGCACTGAAGAGGTGGGTGGCTTTGTAGCAAATTAATCTGGCAGAGCAGGAGATGGAATGCTCATTTCAAAACTCCCAAGCCTTTGCTTGATTGCTGAGATTACACTGTTAGCATCTCCAAGGGACTGTCTGCCTGGGTATGAACATATGGGAAGATCAAATAGAGTCACAGAGAGGTAGGTTTTAACTTGGTTCTGTCCCTTACTAGCTGTGTGATTCTGAACAAGTCACTTAATGCTTAACTTCTCTGACATAAGTACCAAAAAGCTATTTATTTTTGGTCCTTGTCAAAGTTCAGTGATGAAAGAATATATTTGGATATTCCATGGCACAGAATAGATGCGTAGTAAATGCCGTTCCTTCACCACTTGCCCACTCAGGTGTGCTGCGATGTATTGGTTTTTCTTAGATCTTTAAAGAGCGGGAGATTCAGGGCATGCCTATTCTCTGGAACTGGGTTGTCTTCTTGGAAAACTCCTGGCGAAAGAAATAATGTAGGTTGGTAATTTGTCATCTTTTCAGGAATGTGCGTCACTTTTTATTTGAGAGGATGGCAGTAGGAAGGAAATGCTGGGTTTATTTTTCTACATCAGTGTGAAGGGTTATGCTTGATCAAGCAAGTCTACAAACGTGCAGTTATATTTTCAAAACAGATGTGGATGGTTAACACATTAGTTAACATGACTAATACACTGAAACAAGCACTTTTTACTAGCCCATTGTTGCTTTAGTTGCTACCACAAGTACTGAGTAGTCTGCAGGTGTCAGATACAGTACAGGGGACTGCAATGAAAGGGAACTTACCCATCAGTCTCAGTGACGAGAGGGCCATGCTCACTCATAAATACATTCCTTCGCCTTCCTAAATGTAGGTAAACTTTCTTTAATTTTAAGTCAGCTTTTTATTTACATATAATAAAATCCGCCCATTTCGATAGTGCGGTTTGATGAGTTTTGACAGACATATACTGCTGCGACCGAGAGGGAAAACGTTGCCATTAATCCTGAAATTCCCCTCATGCTCTTCTACAGTCAGTCCTTTCCCCTCACCCCTGACCCCTAGCGACCCCTCTTACACTCTTTTTCCACTTAGCGTGATGCCGTTGACACTTCCCCATGTTGTCACGTATGTCAGTAGCTGGTTCTGTCTTACTGTTAGGTAGTACTCCGCTTTGTGGATCTGCCACGGTTTGTTTATCCTTTCCCCGATTGATAGTCACAGGGCTGTTTCCATCTGGGGGCTACTGCAAACATTTGGGTACAGATCTCTGTGTGGACACAGATTTTCATTTCTTTTGGGTAAATACCAAGGACGGGGGTTGGTGGGTTGTAGAGTAATTATGTGTTTCACTTGATAAGAAACTTCCCGAAGGGGCTGTGGTCGTTCAGTTTTTTACCAACAAGGTGTAATAGTTCCAGCTGTTCCACATCTTTGCCGATACTTGGTCGTTTAAAATTATGTCGGTTTTTAATTTTAATTTGCATTTTCTTAATGATTAATGATATTAAGCAAATGTTCATTTGTTTATTGGTCATTCATCTATGTTCTTTGATGAAATGTCTATTCCAGTCTTTTTAAATGTAAGGAAACAACCCAAATTCAATAGCAAGAGGTTTAAGGAAGTGTGTTTGTGACCACCCTTGACCCCCACCAGAGTAACTGGAAGTATATCTTTGCAGTATGACTGTTTTTTTTAACATGCTCTTTAATGTATTGTTTTCACTGATTCAGTTAGGACTGTAAATCTCATACGTCATCTAAAATGCCACTGACAATAGAACTGTCACTACTGGGTATAGTTTAGATAATCATTAGACATATTTGAAATATTAGAAATAAGAAGACACTGGCTGAATTTTAGACGGTCATAGTAATAACCTTCCTGACAACCCCCAGTTGGACTTGGGCTTGGAGGAAACTATGGATGTCAAGCTGCAATCTTAGCTGACTAAAACTTAGGGTTACTGATTGAAGACAGACAATGGTCAGCCCCTAATGTGAGAAAAAATTGTTATCAAATATGTGGATACTATTTATTTTCACTTGTATTACAATACATAGTTGTCAGTTAAGTAAGAGTTCTGTCTAAGGCTGAAAGGAATTGCCAGCACTAAGAGGATACTGGCCAGCCTAGATCCCAAGTCTCGAATCAGATATTGTATTCATCAGGGTTCTCCAGAGAAACAACCAATAGGTTACATATATAAGATAGAAGATAGGTATATAGCTAGACACACATACCTACATACAGATGCAATGAGATTTATTATAATAAATTGGCCCATGTTATTGTAGAGACGCTAGCAAGGCCAAAATCTGCACAGCTAAAGTCCCAGTTCAAGTCCAGAGGCTGGCAGGCTGCTGTAGAACCAGGAAGAGCTGATGTCCCAGTTCAGAGACTGTCATACAGTAGAAATCTCTCTTACCTGGGATCAAACCTTTGACTGATTGGATACGGCCCACCCACATTATAGAGGGCAATCTCCTTTTCTCAATTGGCTAATTTCAGTGTTGATCTTATCTGAAAATACCCTCACAGAACATTTGACCACAAATCTGGGCACCTGATGGCCCAGTCAAGTTGACACGTAAAATTAACCATCGGAGATGTGTATATACTTCTGAAGTTCCACAGTGTCATTCTTTCCTTGGAGCCAGTCAAACCATAGTTCAGGCAGTTGCTTTAGATGCTGAATGAACCCCTCCTGTGGACATCAGTCATGTGTGGTTTTAGTCAGACGTGTAGTTTAGCGGGTATTCTGCTTCCCATTTTCCAATAGCAGAAATCAACTCAGTGGGAAAACCGGTTTGAAATATGTTCAGCATTGGAGGTTAAGATCTCTGTTAAAATGCTTTGTGAGCCTTTCCTTTCTATTCAACCTATTCACTTCCCTAGCCCCTTTTCTACTTAAGCATGGGTTTTTCTAGCATTCTTTGCCTTGATAGGATGTGTATTAAGATGTCTGTCAAACATGATCAGAGACTCTTGATGGCTACAATGACTAAGCTTTTTGAGGGAAAAAGAGTGAAACCTATGAAATCATAGAGGTGAATGAGATCTGTTTACACATCAGTGGGACGGGGCTGTATTTGTAAGAGCCTAACAGCAGGATCTATTCTGCCCTTTTAGACAGACAGTGGCTACTAACATCAACAAAGATGAATAGCATTCTGCTATCTCTGCAGGACTCAGTGAACAGCAGTCTAGTTAAATGATGCCAGTATCACGGTGTGCCTCTAGCTGGTACTCTGCCGAAGTGCTCTTGGTGAGACTAGCTGTGCTCTCAGGATAGAAAGCCAGCGGAGGCTGGGTTTGACTAAAATAGCATTTGGCAGTAGCTTTATGGAGCAGTCACTTCGTGCAGGATCTAGGTCATGTTACAATTTGGGAATTTCCTTCATCCTATTTTTTCCCCCGTTATGCCAGACATGACCCTAAAGCAAGTCCTCAATTCCCAACTTCTCTTGGAGGTCTCAACACGACCTTGTGGGGCTCTTGGATGACCTCCAATTCTTTGATTTTTATTTCGCTCTCAACAAAGCATCTGGACTTCCTTTGTCGTCCCTGAGAGCTGCGTTTCTTTTGGAGATCGAGCTGCCAGCTCTGAATGATCGCTTTAATATTTGGGTGTGATCGTTTCTTGGTCAGTTGTGACTGGAGCACAGGACCTTTGTGTCATGCTATCACAGATGGCCACACCTAAATGCTCTCAACAAGGAAATAAAGGCCCCAAGACTGGTGAGAGTGAGATTAGGCAGTTTTTGCCAATAGCAGTTAGTCCACAGTTCCAAATTGCTTGCATCAACTAAACATCCAGGGCCTAAATTTATGCTAGAACAGTTCTTTTCCAGGAAGATAATTACGTGGGATGACGGTCGAAAGATAGGAACTCGTGAATCCATATTTTCTGAGCTTTAACAGTAGAATCAGGTAGTTTTCTGACCACTGTCCTTTCTGCATGCTGAGCTGAGCTGCTTCTATGCTCTGAGGATCTTAGGTAGAGGTAGATAACATGCACACCCCGCATGGGCAGGAAGAGAAGGGTGACTGTGTGGGAGGGGGGAGTTTGATCTTGAGGAATAAGGGCAGCCTGCTCCCTCTCCATGTACCCCAGCAGATATAAAACTACGGACTTTGAGGCAGGGGGTGGGTATAGCTCAGTGGTAGAGCACATGCTTAGCAAGCACGAGGTCCTGGGTTCAATCCCCAATCCCTCCATTAAAAAAAAATTAAAACTAAGAGCTTTGGCTTGAGAGGATTAAGTGGATCTGCTTCAGAGGGGATTAGTGGCCCAATGTGCAGTGAGACAGAAGCCAGAGAAGTGCCCCAAGGGCCTGAAAGAGAGAGGAAATCTTCAAGGCTGGGCCACCTGATAGCTAATCTGTCCTTCTTGGCAAGATGTGAGATAGGTCAGTTCAACACTGACAGTTCAGACACCAACAGATCGGTGAAAGGGTGCTTTGTTTTCATTTCAGATGGGTACACTGATAAGAAAAGTTTGAGTTGACAGTTTGGAAACCTCATCAA